CTGCAGATAACAGTCAGCTGAAGTGGCCTGCAGTACTGCACCCTAACCACTGCGCCACCTCGGCTCTGAAATGAAATTAAATGAAGCTCTGATGATGCTAATACATAAAGGGGAATGAGGGAAGGAAGGAAGGAATTAAGGATTTTTTCCTAGAGGTGGTACCAACACACAGGAGACCTAGTAACAGAGTGCAGCCAACTCACTTTGCAACTGGAGGGGTGATATTTTTAACCAATAAAGCAATAAAATTCACTTGTGCTTCCAAAGGAATTCAGAAACCAGTATAAAAATAACAAAAAACAATTAAATATCATATTAATTAAATATCATATTAATTTTTAATACTGATTGATCTTTAAAAACAGGGAGAAAAAAGCACATTCAAGGGAAATATGAAAAATAGGATTCATTCAGAAGAACAGAGAGGAGAAACAGAGAGGTCCTGTTGTTATTAAAACAACAGTAAAACAAATCCAATCAAGGAAAATCTGTTGGGGATGCACCATTACAGCATAGATGACCTACTTCTTATTTTTTCCCTTTGCATCCCTCCCTTGGGTACCAACATTTCTGCTGTAGAAATGCTGAAGCAAAAGTTCTTTGGGCTTCTTTTGTTCAAAAAGAGCAAGACGGGAGCAATTGAGAGATTGCCAATTAAAGCACTGTTAACTTGGTAAGCAGATGAGAAACAAGGAAAAGCAACCTTTTTTTTAAAAAAAAAGAAAGAAATGCACATGTTATCATTTCACTGAGAATGTTTCACACACATTGTTCACTTTGGCCTGGCTGTTTCATTAGTAGAATTCTATCTTGAGAAAATTACAAGGAATATAATGAAAGTGTAACATGCATTTGCAACTATTTATGTTTTGTTTCCTTTCTGACTGCTGAAATGGGCCATTGAATTTCAAATTGTAACTCTTCACAAGGACTTCTTCTCTTACACCCAGTACCGTAAATCCCCATGGATCTTGTGGGTAGAGAAAGGAAGACATGGGAATGTTTAATAAATCCATTGTCACAGACTGATAATTTTCTGCTGAAGGCGAAGACTCTCAGGATGATTAATGGACCAGTGAGAATTTAAATGCCTTATTCATATAAGCTGTTTGTAGTATAACGTGGCTTTTACAACCAATTTAATTTTTTTTGATGATGGAGATCAAGGATGATTTCAAAAGAAAATAACACCACCAGCCATCATTTGCCATACTCGTTCAAATACTGAAGGTGAATGAATGACAAACTTGACAAGATTTATCAGGCTAGAAAGGTCAAAACTGTTTTTTAAATTATGAGTTATGGATGCTCTTTGGTTTGTAGAAAAAAAAGTACATTTGTGAAATGATATCAGGAAATATTGGGTCAGTCATAAAAATAAAGTCTGAGAATCTGCATTCTAGAAGGAATATAGTTCAGTGATATAGTGTGTGTATGTGGAAGGTCCATTTCCTAATCGTTGACACCTCCAGAGAGATTGGGATGGACTCTAATTTGGAGTCAAAAGGGGCAGGTATACCTGGTGCCATCCAACTGCAGTTCCTATCATCCCAGTCAATACAACTGCCAGCCATGCTGACTGAAAGTGATGGAAGAGAGATGGAGTGTACAAACAACACATCAGATCTTATTCTACAAAGATGCTTCTGTAAAGGAGTAAGAGGATGACTTTGGGGGATGAAGAAGAGAGGTACTGCTTAGGAAACAATCATACAAGAGAGAAAGGAGCTACAAGGACTTAATGATAAAGAGACTATTCAAAGTGGCAGTGAGAAGTTTGTATCTTCAGACTTACAAAATTGTTGTCAGTCGCCCTGAGTAAACCAGACAGGAAACACATCTAGATAAGCTAAATCTACTTTATTGTATAAGGCAGGGACCTGCAACCTTAAACACGCAAAGAGCTATTTGGACCAATTTCCCACAGAAAAGAAAACACTGGGAGCCAATAATTTAACAACTGGTGTGACTGGGTGGGTGTGGCCAACTGACATCATTCACTCCAACCCAGTCACATGACCCCAGCATGCCTACCCATTAGGGCAGAGAACTGGTTGTTAAATTATTTGCCATGATCAGCCCCGCCTCATGCCTCCCCTCCCAGTCACCTCTTGCCACACCCAGCCTTGGGTGTATTGTTCACCCCCCTCCCTCTTCTCCCTCTCTCCCTCCCTCCCTCTCTATATCTTTGTGTGTTTCTCTCTGTCTCTCTCTGTGTCTCCCTCTCTGTCTCTCTGACACCACTGCTGTTGCCAGGGGCAAGTAGGACAGGGTTGCATTGTGGCTCTGTGTCATAATGGGCTCCAGGAGGAGGAAACCCCTGTCTCCCCTATTGTGAAGCATGCTAAATAACACTGTGCTGCATAAGGCACAGTGAGAGCAGCAGGCAGGCCATGGAGGTGGCAACAGTTCCAAGCCCAAAGCAGCTGGAGGTGAGGGCTGCCTTGAGCGCAAATGAAGATGGAATACTGTTGCCGCACAAAGGCGCACAGGGGTGTTTCGCTTCGTCTCTGGAATATGGAGCAAGTCTCCATCCCCCGCCGTCAACCTTACCTTCTCAGGCCAGATGAGGAGTGACTGGGAGTGGAGGGGCCAGCCGCTGGTGGGATCAGCCGACAGGGAGCCGTAACAGAGGGCGAAAGAGCCGCATGTGGCTCCAGAGCCGTGGGTTGCTGACCCCTGGTATAAGGTTATATAAAGAGTATCTTGCAAGTTTAAAGGTGCAAACTTCCCAGATGGAAAGGATGATCCTTCCTAAGTTTCTTTCTCTGATTGTTAAATGACGGAGGCTTCTGAAGCAGCTTTTCTAAATTATCACACAGCCCTAATAGTGGCTAGCTGAACCAATGGACAGCCTCAGATATTGTCAATCAGACCCACATGTGAAGAGTTCAAGTTAGAATTAATCTTTTGTTTTTAAAAAGTAGTTTTTCATAAGTTCATTTTCTACAATGAGCCAAGGTGCCACAGTGGTTAGAGTGTAGTACTGCAGGCTACTTCTGCTGCCTGCAATTTGGCAGTTCAAATCTCACCAGGCTCAAAATTGACTCAGCCTTCCATCCTCCTAAGGTAGGTAAGGTAGGTACGGGCCAAGGTGGCACAGTGGTTAGGGTGCAGTACTGCAGGCCACTTCAGCTGACTGTTATCTGCAGTTCGGCAGTTCAAATCTCACCGGCTCAAGATTGACTCAGCCTTCCATCCTTCCGAGGTGGGTGAAATGAGGACCCAGACTGTGGGGGCGGTATGCTGACTCTGTAAACCGCTTAGAGAGGGCTGAAAGCCCTATGAAGCGGTATATAAGTCTAACTGCTAAATGAGGAGCCAGATTGTTGGGGAAAATAGGCTGACTCTGTAAACCACTTAGAGAGGACTGTAAAAGCACTGTATAAGTGCTATTGCTATTGCTACAATGGCACATCTAATAAAAAAAAAGAATTGCTTGATATATTTCTTGCCCTCTGAAGAATTTCATAGTTTTCCTTTTCTCTGACATTACTGCCATCATTGCTAAGTATGAATCCTGATGATAAATGGAATGAACAACTAATCTCATAACCCAGTTCAATATTTTCAAAAAGCTGAATGACAAAAAAAAAAACGGCTTAAGCTTTTCATGACTGAAAATAAAGTGCTATTTACTGCAAAATTATATTTCATCTCTTCCAAAGTTTGTGACCACTTTAACCACAGTTTAGAATCATGTTTTATTGTACAGTTGCTTGGGACAGTCACAGCTTCACATACTATCCAAACTGAGTGGAGAGGTACGATATAAAAGTGGGACTGAGTGCAAACTGATCTTGCTACAAGTGCAGCCTGCCTGCATTTCCTATAGAATTCATGCACAATATTCCTATAGAATACATACAAAATTTCCATACAAAATTT